GTCGTAGTGAGGAGTCGTAGTGAGGAGTCGTAAGTGAGGAGTCGTAGTGAGGAGTCTTAGTGAGGAGTCTTAGTGAGGAGTCTTAGTGAGGAGTCTTAGTGAGGAGTCTTAGTGAGGAGTCTTAGTGAGGAGTCGTAGTGAGGTGTCTTAGTGAGGAGTCTTAATGAGGAGTCTTAGTGAGGAGTCTTACTGAGGAGTCTTGGAGAGGAGTCTTGGTGAGGAGTCTTAGTGAGGAGTCTTAGTGAAGAGTCTTAGTAAGGAGTCTTAGTGAGGAGTCTTAGTGAGGAGTCTTAGTGAGGAGTCTTAGTGAGGAGTCTTAGTGAGGAGTCCTAGTGAGGAGTCCTAGTGAGGAGTCTTAGTGAGGAGTGTTAGTGAGGAGTCTTAGTGAGGAGTGTTAGTGAGGAGTGTTAGTGAGGAGTCCTAGTGAGGAGTCTTAGTGAGGAGTCTTAGTGAGGAGTCTTAGTGAGGAGTCCTAGTGAGGAGTCCTAGTGAGGAGTCCTAGTGAGGAGTCTTAGTGAGGAGTGTTAGTGAGGAGTGTTAGTGAGGAGTCTTAGTGAGGAGTCTTAGTGAGGAGTCCTAGTGAGGAGTCCTAGTGAGGAGTGTTAGTGAGGAGTCTTAGTGAGGAGTCTTAGTGAGGAGTCTTAGTGAGGAGTCTTAGTGAGGAGTCCTAGTGAGGAGTCCTAGTGAGGTGTTAGTGAGGAGTCTTAGTGAGGAGTCTTAGTGAGGAGTCTTAGTGAGGAGTCCTAGTGAGGAGTCTTAGTGAGGAGTCTTAGTGAGGAGTCTTAGTGAGAGTCTTAGTGAGGAGTCTTAGTGAGGAGTCCTAGTGAGGAGTCTTAGTGAGGAGTCTTAGTGAGGAGTCCTAGTGAGGAGTCTTAGTGAGGAGTCTTAGTGAGGAGTCTTAGTGAGGAGTCTTAGTGAGGAGTCTTAGTGAGGAGTCCTAGTGAGGAGTCTTAGTGAGGAGTCTTAGTGAGGAGTCCTAGTGAGGAGTCTTAGTGAGGAGTCTTAGTGAGGAGTCTTAGTGAGGAGTCTTAGTGAGGAGTCTTAGTGAGGAGTCTTAGTGAGGAGTCTTAGTGAGGAGTCCTAGTGAGGAGTCTTAGTGAGGAGTCTTAGTGAGGAGTCCTAGTGAGGAGTCTTAGTGAGGAGTCTTAGTGAGGAGTCTTAGTGAGGAGTCGTTAGTTTCATTTCGATCGGAGGTCGGGGAGTTCTGGTCTGATCTGAGTCCGTCTCCTGTCTGACTCCAAAGTGCCTGCAGGATGGTTCTGATCCTCTTGTTGCGGGTCAATAAAGGGAAGAACATCTGAGGTATTTGGACCTTCCTGTGTTTCCTTACAGCCAGTCAGGTATTAACCTCATAAGGAGAACTGAATAACGATGAGAGCGCAGACGGATCTCTCTTGCTTTTCCCTTTTTCAGCCAGACGTGTTTTTGGGTTCTGGTTGTTCACATGGACTCCAGCTGCATCCTCGTGTTCTCAGGCGCTGCCGGGTCTCTCCACCTCTTCAGCAAACGGGTTGCAGCTCTATCTGCTGATGTGCCTCCCATCCTTCAGGGAATATTGATTTCCAGCAGAGGTGACATTTACTGTGTACTCTTAATCACCCGGCGGCTCCTTCACACTTGAACTGAATCTGATGTCAAACTCTCCAGTGATGAGCTGATCTGCTGCTGCTCCTTCTGGACCTTTACAGGCTGCAGACACAGCAGCAAAGCAGCCGCTCACAGGCCGAGCTGGGCTGGGCCGGGGCGGGCCGGGCTGGGCCGGGCCGGGCCGGGCCGGGCTCAGCTGATTGATGTTTTAAATGATGGTGTGGGAGGAAAACTGACCGGTTGTATTTCAGGTTGAACTCTGTGCTGCTTGGCCTTTCACACAAATTGCAGAAGCAGAAATTGTTGTCTTGTCTCTGAGCTGTAGATTAATCTCCTCATGTGTCTCATAAAGCACGTAGTCAGAAGTGTGAGCTGGTGAATTGTGTTTCATGTTAAACATGATCATATTAGAGGAAAATTAGATGAAAAATAAGTTAATGTTCTTGATTCTAACTGAGTTGCTCTGCAGAGAAGCTAACTTAACCGGCCGACATGGTAATTACTGTTAATTATTGGGTATTACTGGTAACTGAACAGATGTTTCTGTCATGTTCATGATTCTGCATGTTTATCCCACATGCAGAATCATGCACAGGACACCAGAATGATAAGACAATAGTTCATTTACAATATGTACAAAGGAAATGTACATTTTAGCATTTTAGCAGCGTTAGCATTGCTAGCAGCATTCTGCAGCCAGACATAATGGATGCCAGCAACCGCAGTCTGAGGTGCATTCACACATTTCCTGGTTGATGGAGCATGGAGGCAGGACAGCAAGACCGGCTGGTCCCGCCTCGGTACCGCCTCGGTACCGTCTTGGTACCGGTATCGCCTCGGTACTGCCTGGGTCACATCACTCACAGTTGCAACACAGTTGCAAAGAGTGAAATTGTTTCACTGACACAAATAAAAGCAGAAGCTGCTCTGCTTGTCGCCTCCAGTTTGGCTTTCTCTAAAACCTTTATTAGTTTGGATTAGTTCTGCTTATTAAAACCAGAAGCCAGTTTATTACTTTACAGACACATTTATTACAGACAGTTTAATAATGAAGCAATATTTCAGGCCCTCTGGAAACACACAGTCAGGAACTGATCAGGAACTGAGGAATCACTTTATCTCACACACAGCCAGTGTCTCTGTGGTCAGAAGTATTCATACCCCAGAAGATTTCATATGATGTTCCTTCTGACTGGATTTTGAAGCTAAAACCTTCATGTTCATTTTAACCTCATGTTCTGTAAAACTCCAACGCTGATGAACTGCAGTCTGTGTTCAGATGATTCTGTAACATTTTGTTGCCCAGTCTTACTATTTGGATGGGAATATTGCTAAATTAGTCTTCAGTAATAAATCTTTTCCAAGCATTGTTACTGTTAACATCATGTTGCCTGAGTGCATTTCCCTGCTGTGACTCGGTATTTACCGCCTAATGGAAACTGAAATGCTCTTGGTGTTTTTAATGTTCGGCTCTGATGACACAGCAGATGGCCCACTACAGGAAGCTACAGGAAGCAGCAGGAAGCTACAGGAAGCAGCAGGAAGCTACAGGAAGGAGCAGAAAGCTACAGGAAGCAGCAGGAAGCTACAGGAAGCAGCAGGAATCTACAGGAAGCAGCAGGAAGCTACAGGAAGCAGCAGGAATCTACAGGAAGCAGCAGGAAGCTACAGGAAGCAGCAGGAAGCTACAGGAAGCAGCAGAAAGCTACAGGAAGCAGCAGGAAGCTACAGGAAGCAGCACGAAGCTACAGGAAGCAGCAGGAAGCTACAGGAAGCAGCAGGAATCTACAGGAAGCAGCAGGAATCTACAGGAAGCAGCAGGAATCTACAGGAAGCAGCAGGAAGCTACAGGAAGCAGCAGGAAGCTACAGGAAGCAGCAGGAAGCTACAGGAAGCAGCACGAAGCTACAGGAAGCAGCAGAAGTAAGAGGCTACAGGAAGCAGCAGGAATCTACAGGAAGCAGCAGGAAGCTACAGGAAGTAGCACGAAGCTACAGGAAGCAGCAGAAGTAAGAGGCTACAGGAAGCAGCACGAAGCTACAGGAAGTAGCACGTAGCTACAGGAAGCAGCAGGAAGCTACAGGAAGCAGCAGGAATCTACAGGAAGCAGCAGGAAGCTACAGGCTGGGTTCTGTCTGGCCTGCTTCCTGGTAGCGTTTGATGGAACTGGGTGAACATGGCGACATGTGTTGGGATGACACGCCTCCCCTGACTGCAGCAATTGCTTTCTCCCAACATTTCATGCAGCATCTGCCAGAGTTACTGCGTCACGCTGACGGGTCTCCGAAGAGACTCCACTATCTGCTGTTTGAAAGTCTCGTAATGTAAATGATGCATCATTAAATAAATACTTTACTCTGTCACACGTCTTTCATCCAGGCTTATTCACGGTGTTTTCTTTCATGTAATATTTGGAGCTCTACCTGTAGCTGAGTTAGAGATTGTTCTCTGTATAGTTACTGGTCTTATTTTCCTCTTCAGCCTCTGTGCTGCCTCGTTCAGCAGGAGAGGCATTTACTGATGAATGCACTTGATCGCTGAGACTTCTCCGGTAAGGACAGAAGTGCTCCTTCCACTCTGACTAATCGCTCAGCGTCTTTAACATCTGCTGGAAACCTTGTTGACTGTTCGTGTTCCTGCTGAAGCCTCCTTCAGGCCCCCTGCAGGCCCCGCAGACGTGCAGCTTCAGGTTAATTGCGTCTCTTCTCCATGCGTTCCTCCGAGCCGCTCGTTCTTCATGTTTGATCTGTTGACATCCTGAAGTTTTGATTGATTTAGTTTAAGTTGAATCTGAAGTTATTTTGGATTTCCACAAACAGAGTGAAGGTTTTCTAAAAGCTGAACATCGTTCAGGTGAGAATGACAAATCTTTAGGATTTTAACTAACAGATTATCAAATATTGTCCAGATTTTCTCAGAGAGGTGAGACGTGCAAAAAGCTCCAGAAATCTCATTCATGACAGATGCAGAAGCGTTGGGTGGGGAGCCATACTGGCCATTTTCAAAACCGTCGCTGGTTACAAAAACATTTAGTGTTCTGTTGAGTACAATGCATTCTTGAACTTTCTTTGACTCGCATTAACTCGGCATTTTCTATGGGTTGTTGTTGGTCTCTCGGATGTCGAACTTTAATTTGAAATACGAAGATGAACTGTTTTATTTCAAGGTCAAATCAAATTTAGCTTTAAATGTTTCATACAGAATGTTTTTAGCACAATTATCTTTAATTGACAAACAGGTGGGTGACTATGTGCTTAGTGAAAATTCAGACCTTAAATAGACTAAAATGGTTGTTTCTACCTTATAACAGTCGGTACAAAAATATGTGAATGTTGATAAATTAACTGACGGTGAAGCGGCAGATTGAACTGAGGTTCATTTCTCTGATGACCATTTGGTTTTCTGTGTTGCAG